GTCAAGGTCAACGTCATCGGGACTGGCTCCCCTCATCTCCATAATTATTAGGTGTTAAACTTAATTCCTATCGTTTTTTCGTCTCGAAAATCGATTTGTTTCGAAGGGAAGATGAATGAATATCTTAAGCCGGCGGCACACGATGCTTGTTTTCCTACTGGATTGCTAGCTGGATTAGAATCTTGCCACCGTATTGGATGTGATGCTGTCAGTGCCAGCTGTAGTAATTTCCTCCATTTTCTACTACTTTTTCCGATTTCTCTGGCAACAGGGCAATCCCACGACGGTAGAACGCGGTGTCTTTCGAAGCGATCCATTCATCCACCCATTTTTGGACTTCGTTGTGACTGGAGTGTGTGTCCGTAAGTGCGTGTTGCATCGATCGGAAGAGATGGTAATCCGACGGTGCCAAGTCTGGAGAGTACGCTGGGTGCGGCAGAACTTCCCCTTCAAGCTCTCAAAGTGTCTGCTTCACGCTTTTCGCGACATGCGGTCGAGCGTTATCATGCAACAAAATGACTTTGCATCGATTGTTAACTACGGATGATCTTTCTTGCATCAATACGTCACTCAATCGATATAATTGCTGTTGGTAGCGATCAGCTGTAACGGTTTCATTTGGACCCAAGAGTTCGTAATACAGCACACCTTTCTGGTCCCATCAAACGCACACCAAGGTCTTATGCCCGTGAGTATTCCTTTTCGACGTTGAAGCGGATGGTTGGCCGGGGTCCACCCATGACTTTTTCCGCTTGGGATTACCAAAATAAATCCATTTTTCATCGCCAGTCACGATGCGCCACAAAAAACTCTTTTTTCTTTGCCTAGCAAGCAAAGAAGTCGCAATAGTCAAACGATTCAAAATGGCATTTTCAGACAACTTATGTGGTAGCCATTTTCCTTCCTTGTGAATCTTTCCCATGGCATGCAAGCGTTTTGAGACGGCCATTGGAATAACATTTAACTGTTCCGACAACTCTAAAAGCGTTTGGGCTGGATTCTCATCGAGCAATTCTTGCAGCTCAACATCTTCAAATTTTTTCGGCTGTCCTGGACGTTCTTTGTCTCACATCAAAATCACCGTTTCGGAAGCGTTGAAACCAAACTCTACATGTTGGTTCCGATGGAGTTTTATCACCATAAATTTCGGATAATAAGCGATGCGCTTCAGTTGCGGTTTTCTTGAGGTCGAAGTAGTAAAGAAGCACATGTCGGAAAAACAGCTTATCGCGATTCATTTTCAATCGATTGGAAAATCTCTTTGGCGTCGAGAAATCTAACCTGTGAGGATTGAATCACTTTCAGCGATGTTCTAAACTACAAAAGACATGTGACTTCATCGTCGAAACTCATCAGCTGGAGGCAGAGCCCTTTAGTAGCGAGCGATAGGAATTAAGTGTTTAACACCTAATACCTATTATTTTATTATTAATTCCGTACAAAAGCGAACTTTTAGAAAACGAAAAAAAACACTGTTCTTTTCTTTTTCGAAAAAAAATATATTTATATAAATGAATACACTGTTTATTTATAAAACATATTTATTTTATTTCTGTATATATAATGTTTCATACTAAAATATTACACAGTGTCAATTAAAAAATACGTGAAAAATACGTTTTTTTAAATTATAATTTTAAAAACGTTTCCGGTGAAACGTTTCTTATTGATGCTTAACGGTTATGAAACATTGGATATGTTTAAGAAACGTATATAAAACATACGTGTGCTACCTGGGAATTTATTAAAGTATAATTTAATATGTGTAGATCAGCATTAATAAGAAAATACTAATTATATATTTTTATCATAATAAACTTGTATAGATAAGATATATAAAAAGAGTAATTTCTTTAGTTCATTACTTTTTTCCGCAGACCTAGTAAAATTAGAGACGGTAGAAAATGTTGAGTTATGTATTTTCATTAATTATTCTTTCCTTTCTTGGATTTTTTCTCATTGAAATTTCTTTCAATTGTTAACACGTTTCCAGACAAACATTAATGAACAAAAAAAGAAAGTTTACAATATATTCAATAAGATTTTTTTATTCGGACCGAAAAGAATTAAACATTAAGTATAAGCGTATTCAAGCCTATGACGGTTAAAGCTCTTTTTTGCCTAAATAATTCCCACTGAATTATCTATATCCTATATATGTACATGCATATATATCATATTTTTGTAGTTATTCAAACTGTTCGCTGAAATTTTTCCGGACTTTATCTAACGCAATTAAACTACTGCAATAATATCACAAGTTAAATTAAATTGATAATATGCTGAAAACCTTAAATAAATTTATTGCGAAAAATATTACCTCGGCCGGGACTTGAACCCGGATCTCTTGTATTCCGTACGAGCGTCCTATGTAATCTAATGGCTTAGAACGCTATCTCTATTAAGCTGGACTCCCTACCAGCGCAAATCGAGTCCGGACATATTGAAAAATTTAGTGCTCTTTTGTTGCTCCAGAAAGAATTTTATTGTTCCTACCGTTCCGCAGTAAAAAAAATAAAAAATGGGTGGTTCCAACCAGGGGTTACAATCTCCTATTGTTCTTCGTGTACCACCGTTTGGAGCGCCGCCACATTCTTACAGGCCTCAGATACGAACTAAATCCGCCATCTTGTCACGAGGTCACATCTTCTCAACCTTCTTAACACGCAAAAGTGTGAGTTAGTCGATTTAGCCGATTTATATTATATATATTTTACTTTTTATTTTACATCACTCGGTTAAATCGACTAACTTACACTTTTGCGTGTTAAGAAGGTTAAGAAGATGTGACCTCGTGACAAGATGGCAGATTTAGTTCGTATCTGAGGCCTGTAAGAATGTGGCGGCGCTGCAAACGGTGGTACACGAAGAACAATAGGAGATTGTAACCCCTGGTTCCAACTTAATGGCAACCCTGGTAGCAAGCTGACGTCAAAATGACGTCATTTGATGTCAAAAAGACGTCATTTGACGTCAAAATGACGTCAAAATGACGTAGCTTGCTACCTGGGTAGCTGGACCCCACCATAGTCAAAAAACATACATAGAGCAATATCAAAAAAACAAGTACACCAGATTATGTTGCTTTTTTGTTACTCCAGAATAGTGCCAAGAAATATCAAAAAAATTCAATTGTTAAATAAATATCCATAAATAAACAAAATTGCATCGTCACACGTAGCAGCGTCATGATTAAAAGGTACAGAGTTAGTTGCTCGCAAGTTTTTGGTATCAAAATGTTCTTTGTAATATATACTTTCGAAATATACCCATTTCCGGTTTTGTTGCTAACTACACGGAGAGAATTTTTTCTTAGAATTTACCCTGAAAATATGACAGTCGTGGGACAACATTGTGTGTGTGTGTGTGTGTGTGTGTATTTCGAAGAATTTTAATATAAATCTCTCTCATTCATTAATAAAACTACAATAAAGTATAAAATAAGTTTGATCAATTTTATTGAAGTGCATGGTAAAAATTTTTTTAATATTTTATTGTACCACAATCACCATATTTTCAGGGTAAATTTTAAAAGAAAATTCTTTCCGTGTATAACACATGAAAAATAATTAGTTTATCAGCATCGGCGCCCGCGCCGGCAGTTTATTCACTCAAAAATTGTTTAAAGAATTTGTTGTTCGCAAGTTTTTGGTACCAAAATGTTCTTTGTAACGTATACTGTCGAAATATATGTATATTTCAATAAACTGCCGGCGCGGGCGCCGATGCTGATAAACTAATTATTTTTTATGTGTATAGTTAGCAACAAATTCGGAAATGGGTATATTTCGATAGTATACGTTATAAGGGACATTTTGGTACCAAAAACTTGTGGGCAATAAATTGTTTAAACAATGTTTGAGTGAATAAACTGCTCGACGCGGGCGCCGATGCTGATAAACTAATTATTTTTTATGTGTTAGAGTTAGCAACAAAATCGGAAATGGGTACATTTCGATAGTATACGTTACAAGGAACATTTTGATACCAAAAACTTGCGAGCAACGAATTCTTTAAATAATGTTTGATTGAATAAACTGCTCGGCGCGTGCGCCGATGCTGATAAACTAATTATTTTTCATGTGTTATAGTTAGCAACAAAATCGGAAATGGGTACATTTCGATAGTATACGTTACAAGGAACATTTTGGTACCAAAAACTTGCGAGCAACTAACTCTGTACATGTACCTTTTAATCATGACGCTGCTACGTGTGACGATGCAATTTTGTTTATTTATGGATATTTATTTAACAATGAATTTTTTTGATATTTCTTGGCACTATTCTGGAGCATCAAAAAAGCAACAAAATCTGGTGTACTTGTTTTTTTGATATTGCAGCTCTGTGTACGTTTTTTTACTATGGAGGGGTCCAGCTTGCCATTAAGCTGGACCCACTCATTTTTTATTTTTCTTACTGCGGAACGGTAGGAGCAACAAAATTGTTTCTGAAGCAACTAATTAGCAACAAAAGAGCACTAAATTTTTCAATATGTCCGGACTCGTTTTGTGCTGGTCGGGGGTCCAACTTAATAGGGGTTAGGAGGCTCGTACGGAATACAAGAGATCCAGGTTCAAGTCCCGGCCAAAGTAATATTTCTCGCAATAAATTTATTTAAGGTTTTCAGCACATTGTCAATTTAATTTAACTTATGATATTATTGCAGTAGTTTAATTGCGTTAGATAAAGTTCGGAAAAATTTCGGCGCGCAGTTTGAATAACTACAAAAGTATGGTTTATATGCATGTACATGTATAGGATATAGATAATTCTCTGTGAATTATTTAGGCAAAAAAGATTTAGCTTTGACCGTCATAGGCCTGAATACGCTTATACTTAGTGTTTACAATATATTATTCGAAGTAAGGATTAAAATTAATAATTTTATTGATATATAATGTTCTTTACAGTTAGTTAAAATATAAAATTTATTTTTTTTTAATTAATTTTTTTCTGAAAATAAAACGTAAATTTTTTTTAATAGAAGTGGTACAAAAAAATGAGTGGGAGTCAAATTGGCTGTCCCTTCCGCCCACATCCTTCAGCACACTTGAAAGAAGGACAGAAGGATGGAACAACAAAGAACATCAGGTAATGCGAGAGAGTTTTCTTCTGTCTGTCATAAATTTAATTAAATTAATTTATTTAAATAATATGCGGAACTCACTCTCTCTCTCTCTCTCTCTCTCTCTCTCTCTGTCACTCTCGTGAGACGTTCATATAATAAGAATTATTGAAACAAAACAGGTTTCTTTAAAAAGAAAAATTTCATTATATGAAAGATTAAGAAAAAATTTTTTTAAAGCAACGTGCAAGTTAGTAACGAATACATACTACTATTACAGAAATGAGAAAGCAACGAAATCTCACAGTAATAGTGGAAAGTCGTCCGAAAGTTGGGTTCGGCATACAATTGTTGTGATGGGCCCACCAAAAGTCGGCAAGACGGCAATTATCAAACGATTCGTGTATAATACTTTCAGCCGAAAGTATAAGCAGATGGTCGGGAACAATCATCCTATGGATTTTAATGTTTATGGAAACAAATATATAAGATTTGATTTTCAAGACTTATCCAACTTCGATGAGTTCCCGCCGATGAGAGAGCTTTTCATAACAACGGCTGAGGCCTTTATTTTAGTTTACGACGTAAATGATTCAAATACTTTTCTCGAAGTGGAAGCACTCCGCGCCCAGATACACAGCACGAAAGGAGCAATTCCGATTGTGGTCGTTGGTAACAAAATCGATCTTGTAGGGACAGAAAAAGAGGTGAGTTTTAGTCGGATCGAAATTATTATTTTAGTCGGACCGAAACCAGAAATCCGACCGAAAACTTTTTTTTAGTTTTCGATTTTGGTTTTCGGTGTCGGTTTGACTAAAATTCAGGTTTTTTAAACGTTGTTAAATGTTTTATAAGAATTTCTTTGTTTGGAAGAATTTGAAGATAATCGTTATGAAAACTGAAAACAGAGTAATGCATCTTTTAGTTCACATCATGCACTGAGAGAAAGGATTTTGTTAATTTAGCAAGCCACCAGTACTTTTAACCGGTGATCGGTTAAATAAATACGTGACAACAAATTATGTTGTTGTGATTGCTGCTAGTCTGCTATACCAACTAATTATTAGTAACAGAAACAAACTATATAGAATCTGACCTATCTTTTGGATAGACTTTAGCTCGTTTACATAGAATTCATAGATGATCGTGGAGTCTTAAGTCGTAAAAACTGACCAAGCACAGTCAAATATAGGGAGAATACTTGACTAGAATTAGTTAATTTCTTACAATTTGAGACCCTGCAACCGTCTACGACTTATGTACTCGTATATACATGAGCCTCTTATTTGCTAGCAATACTATTAATTATTTGTTACATTGACGAATTAATTTGCAATCGTAACAAATCGATCGTTTTTTTTTAACAAATATCACATTTGCTTTCCCTTGATTTGTTCCTATAACCGCAGTGTTGTGCAAGGTACTCTATTTTCAATACCTAGGTACAGGTACAGGTACTCTAGAAAAAATATACCTAAGTACAGGTACAGGTACTAAAAAAGTAAAATACCTAGGTACAGGTACAGGTATTTTAAATGTACCTTAAAGGTATCTAATAGGTGCTTTTATTTTTAACATGAACTAGCCCATTTCATGCGCGCGCTGACCTCACATGACCCTGATCTTATCTTGATTTTTATAAACTTTTCTTATTTATCACTCGTTGACTCTTATTCTTTATATTATTTTACATACTTATTCAAGTTTTGAATACAGGTATAAAATATTCATTTTTTCTTTTTATTTTTAAACCTAATCAATGTACTTTAAAATCAATCAATTCTATACAATTTGAAATTACACTTTCCTTTGTTTACGGTTGTAAAAGCTGTATTCTTCTTTCGTCCCTATTTTAGTTAGGCTTAAATTTATTTTGTTGTATGGTTCTCACTCCCGAATATTTGTCCTCGAAATCGGCGACCCCAAAATCTACATTTCAACAGAAATTAACAATCCTAAAAACCGTTAATTGCTAAATTTCACTACAATCTGTGAATTTTGAGTTCCGTCCGCAATATTGATTCAGCCATTTTGAATTTTCAAATTCTAAAATCAGATTCAGCATCAACAACCCCGAAAACCTTCTAATGCTTCATTTCACTGAAATTGGAAGACTTTTAGCATTTTCCTCCGCCATATTGATTCAGTCATTTTTCAAATTTTTAATCCGGATTCGAGATCAGCAACTCCTAAATCCCCCTTATACGAAATTTGGCTGTAATCGAAAGACCTTTAAGAATTCCATCCGCCATATTGATTCAACCATTTTGAATTTTCAAATTTTTAGTTCGGATTAGAGTGGGTATAAGGAGGGTGAAGCCAATACATGTGCCTATCGCTGATTGGTTCCGCGATTTTACGATCAGATCCAGTTGACTATAGATTGGTCGTCTATAGTGTCTGTCTGACATACATGAGACGTGACATATAACCTTACTTTTGTGAAGTTAAACCCCGGAATCAAAATCGGAAGACTACAACAGCCTCAACGAAAAGAGGCATCAAAAAAACGTAACACGGCAATTTTAAGAGAGGATAAATTGCATTTTGACGATAAAATGACGATGAATTTCTAACGTTATTTTGACGTCAAAATGCAATTTCGACAGCTTGTTTGTTAGATATAATGAATATATTTCATGTATCTGCATGTAAAATTAAGTTATTATTGAGTTATTATACATATATTTTATGTATACATACATAATTTTTTTGTTTAATAATAAAAATTATGAATAAACATAATGAATTTAATTTAATTTAATTTAATTTAATGAATTTTTTCCATCGAATTTAGTTGTACAAATTTTTTTTTCCCCATCGAATTTAGTTATACACGGACATTAGGTTTAATCGTATCGTTAATCGCGCACGGACTGTGAGCATTAATGTAGAAAGGTGGTCAATTCTAAATTTGTAAAAATTCTCGAGGGAAAGAATCGAAGTCCTTGGGTGTACGTATGTGTGTACCTTCTCTCGGTCTGCGCATCACTGTTACCAACTCCGTAGGCCCCGATCCCCGATCATAGTGAATCAATCACAATGGTTGCGTTCGTTGCGTTCAGATGGTAAGTTTTCAGTTTAGCAGTTGTGGATCCGAAAAATAACTAAAGTGTACCTAAATATAGGTACCGGTACACAAGAAATGGTACCTAGGTATAGGTATAGGTATCAGAAAAAAAAAGTACCTCGGCACAGTTACTAGGTACACAAATTTGTACCTAGTTACAGTACCTAGGTACTTGTACTTAGGTACTGCACAACACTGCCTATAACAAAATCATTTTTCTCAGTGTGGAACGTACGAACAGACTCCATAAAAGAGACTTTTAAATATTTTTAATTCAGAAACTAGACATAGAAATGCCCTGTAACTTGAGATTTTCCATTAGGGCTGCAAGAACCACAATATATAAAAAAATTTAAGCGAATTGATTGAACACTTTTTTACATATAAATCGTGCGTGGTCGTTTACAAAAAAAAACACAACTTCTAATATTTACACCTTTGTGAACAGAAATTAACCCCTCTTTCCCTCCTTTGTAAAAATATTCCTCCATAAGGAATATTTATAAATCAAATAATATAAATAATAATAAGAACATAAACATGTTATATGAATTTAAACACTCTTAACTTAAACAAGCGTACAATAACATCAAATTTTAACTTTGCCTATATATTATACGGTATTTAGACACAGATGTATTTAGACACAAAGTATTACAAATTTTATGGCGAATTAAAACTGTGACAAAAAATTAAGAGGAAACTTAAATGTACTAAAAAATAAATAAAACTGATAAAGTGCGCACGTTACATGTTACACATATTTATTGTTTACAATAGTGTAAAATGGATTGATTATAGGTGGAGACCGAAAGAACTAGAGAATTTGTAACCACGACATGGAAAAATGGCTTTGTAGAAGTATCTGCAAAAGACGACCTTAATATTAACCAAATGTTTGAACAACTTCTTATCCAAGCAAAGTGGGAATATGATTTGAGACCAGCATTGCGTCACCGTCAACAATCTTTGCCGCCTCCGCAACATTCAAACTCGCGCAGCAACAGTAGTAGTACTCCGTCCGCGACTCGGTTACATTTTCAAGATCGTGAGCGTTCCGATAGGAATTGCTGTATCTTATAAGATGAGAACCCTTTGATATTGTCGCGAAACATCTTTCTTGAAGATTTGATACCGAATTAGTTCAGTCCCATGCAATTATTTAATTATTATACAATATGTCACGCGGTTAATTGATCCAAATTTTAAAAATAAAAGGTGTTTTATGTATCGATTCTGAAGTTTTTGTTATCTGGACATTGACTTGCACATGACCCAGATAGCAAAATGTTAGCAGGATATCGACAGGTAACAGATTTGATCGGGAGATATTAGCAGACTAACCACGACTGATGTCGCATTCTGCTCCTGTTCTGCCGACAAATACTGTTAACATTTTACGCAAACAGACTGGCAGCAGAAATCAAACAGAATCTGATAGCATATTGCGAGCAGAAACCGAGCGAAGTCTGCTGACATAACTTGACAGCAGATTGACAGCAGAAACCGAGCAAGATCTGTTATTTTCATTTAAATCGATCTGGTTTTTTATAAGAAATTTTGCATACATATATATAAATGGTTATATATAATTATACACAATTATATATTTATATATAACTAGTGTGAAAACTGGAAACAATCAATACAGTTTTATTGCTCAAATATTATTGCCCGGTAAAAAATTTGTCATGCATGAATATGCATAAATATGTATAAATATACATAAACACACATAATTATTCATAAACATGTATAATTATATATGAAATATGTCCATACTACATGTTCATACATCCTTCTTTCTTTTGTAAAATTACATTTCAGTGTAATACAAATAATAATACTAATGTGAAAACATTAAAAATAATTAAGGGGATAATTTTCGCATTGTTTGTTTTAGAAAAAAACAATTTTGGAAAAATGTAAAAAAAATTATTCATACATAATTGTGCATAATTTTATATAATTATACGTAAGTAATTTTTTTACATTTTTTCAAACTTGATTTTTTCTAAAACAAATAGTATGAAAATTACCTTTTTAATTATTTTTAATGTTTTCACATTACTATTATTATTTCTATTACACTAAAAACTAATTTTACAAAAGAAAAAAGAATGTATGAACACACACACACATGTATGTGATATATTTCATATATAATTTCATATATAATTATACATGTTTATGAATGTTTATGCGTGTTTATGTATGTTTATTCATATTTATATATATTCATGCATGAACAATTTTTTACTGGGTGGTTAGCTTCACATTTCAAAATATAGAGTAGGTAGTCCAATACTGAACCAGTAGTACACTATAGAGTACCATTGCGATATTTCGTAAATGCAACGTTATCAGATTGTGCTGCTATCATGCAGCAACTCGCATTTGAACCCCTCCTCGGCTTCGGCTCCCCAGTTGACTTAGCAAATCGCGCCATGGACGGCATGTAATGTCACATTTTAAGAATTTTGGGTTGCAAAGTAAATTTTTTTCGTAAGTTTTACGTATTTTTTATGTTTTTGTTGTTATACCTATAATTTTTTTCATTATGCAATAGTTTTGTGTAGGGCTCGGTCGTATTTCAAATAAATTTATTTAAAATATATTTTTTAAATAAAGGAGAAATTAGAAAGTTATTTCGTCTTAGTATTTATTTTAAACAACTTCTTCTGACCTATTTCTTATTCGATATTTTAAATAAGTTCTTGGAACTTATTTTTTATTTTTTATTTCGAATAGTTTGTATCACTCTTTTATCGATTACGATATTTTAAATAATTGAACAATTTTCTGAAACCTATTTTTTATTTAAAATAAATCATATCAGTTATCATTTTTATTTTATTTATATAATATAATAATTACTTATTA